GGCGCTGATTCCACTAGCTGCTTCTAATAGTTGAAGTACCGCCACCTTCAAATCGGCCATATTCTTTCTACTCTCGCTAGCAATAGGAAACGTGGGCAACGCAGAAATTTGCCATTGATAGTCAGTCCCTGTACGGAAAACGAACCGATGCTCTGCTTTTTTAACCGTCGTCATGATACGTCACAACGGTTTGTTGTTCAGAGTTAATGATTTCTTTTACTATCTGATCTAGTGTCATTGCCTCTATGCTTTTTTCAACCGTTCTGATGTTACTAGACTGCGGCAAAGTGTCAAAATCGATTATTTCATCTGATTCACCGTAGAATTTCCAGTCTCGACCGAACATCTTATTTATTGCCAACAGTCACCACTGCTCCTTTAGCCTGATTTTGACTCATATGAAAACAACTTTTCAATTTATCAATGGTTTCATAAACGTCTGGGCGAACTTTCCGAATGCTGTCGCGTATATGCCGATATGGTTGTGGTAAATTGTCACCTTTTGGAATTTATTCAAATAATACTTTTCTTCGTTTAGGCTTTTTTATATGCAAAGTTGATTGTTGGTCTTCAGAAGATTCGCTTCGCTGAAACCCGTCTCCTATTTCAGTTTGATTACCGACATAATCAGAAAGGTCACTGAAACCAACCGTTTGTTCAGATCTCGCTTTATCTTGTTCTGCTTTCTCACCCATTCTTTCTATTGCTGCCAGATCCATTCTTCTCCGCTGCATGGTTTTATTCCACTTTCTGTCAACAAAATGTTCACAATACATCAATCGTTCAGTTCGCGATCATTCAAAAAATCCCATTACAAAAGATCCAGTGTTCCTGAAGCAGTTCTGATAGAATTAATGCAGCATTGTCCTTTGATCTTTGCTCTTGCCCAGCACGACTCGGTCGCATCAGATACGTCATATTTTCCTTCCAACCTCGTGGGTTTTCTACGGGCCCTCCGGTTTCCTCCCACTGCTAAAGACCTCTACGCGCAAGCGAATTATTGAAATAAAATTATAAACCATATGTTAGTCCCGAAATGACCTAGTTTGTGTCGAGTGGACGTTTAACCCCATTTCTCTCTCTCATCATATTTCCCACTATAACAGTTTTTGTAGGAAGAACACCATTTGGAAAAACAGGTTTTTCAATGTACAGTCTAGAACCTAGCTGCTTCTGTGCTGTAGAGCGTGTTGTAGTCGTCTTCTGTGTAGTCATTCTACGTTTTTTTAGTCGCAGTCTGGCAATACAAGAGTAAAACATTTCATTAGACCTGACATTACCGTTATTCAGATGTAACAGTTGTAGACCCTTATGGTATTACCACCACAACGGATTTTACTGACCATAAATTCTTAATTAACAACCTCGCAAACATTAAAAAAGATATTCACAACCAAATTATTTTGTGGTTTTTGGTCATCTATATCAGAAATCGATCTATTTTTGGCCGCCATATTGGATTTCTACCATATTGAATTTTCTTCGTAGATTATTTTTGAGGCCGTATTTGGACTCAGCACCGTCGAAAACCTATAAAAAGTCGTAGGATAAGCCACTATTTGATGTTATTTAAGCTCAAAATTGAAATAAATCTGAAAATAGGTGTAAATTAGGGGGTGGGGAAGCTATAAAATTTTCAGAGGGCATGTACTGGAGGGTGGGGGGGATAATAGGGTCGGAACAACATTTAATTTTTTTTTAAATTTTCTGTGCTACGTTCTTCATATTTTAAACAGAGGTTTATGTTGAAAAGCGTAAAAATTGAAAATACCCCCACCCCCTACTAAAGAGCCCTACGCTCAAGCGAATTAAAGAAATAAAATTGAACCATATTATTATGTTACTCCCGAAATGACCTAGTTTGTGTCGAGTAGACGTTAAACACCATCTCCCCCCCCCCCCCCACGAGTTTATGAAACGTTTGGTCAAAGGCGTAGCGAGGAACAGTTGACTGGTGTTTGATCTAATACGAAGGGGACCACGTGGCTAAGTGGGTAAGGCGCTGGCTCGCTAGCCTGGAGGTCGGGTGTTCGATCCCTGCATTGGCCGAGAAAGTTCATCCAGATTTTCCGGCGTGGTTCCCCCTTGTCAGTGATGCAGGACGGAGGGCCTGACAAGGACAGCTGTTTAGTCCTTCGGATGAGACGAAAAACCGAGGTCCCGTGTATACATTGGAATGCACGTAAAAGATCCCTTGGCAGTTGGAATTCGATATAAGAGTAGGCGATAGTGCCGCTGCCCGGGCAAAATTTCCCTCATAGCACACTGTATGGCGTATGCCCGTCTTCATTATCCCAGGTTAGGAGCAGAACAGTAGGACGTTAAACCCCCATTTCATTTCTTTTGATCTAATACAGACGGTAGTCGAGTACATAGACTGTAATCACTCTCATTACCATTATGAAAGGCGAAGAAAGCGGACATTAATCATCCTCCGGTTTAACCTCACTTTCCCCACATTTGATTGTTTTGATAAAGGATTAGGAGGTTACTAGACTGGGTGTAGAACTATAGTCTGTTCTAATTAATTAGTATCACTGGTGTAAACTTCTCACTCTAATTATTGTTACTGTGAACACTTCCCACTATCAGTCTGATTACAGTCTATGTACTCGACTACCGTCTGTATAAGATCAAAAGAAATGAAATGGGGTTTAACGTCCTACTGTTCTGCTCCTAACCTGGGATAATGAAGACGGGCATACGCCATACAGTGTGCTATGAGGGAAATTTTGCCCGTGCAGCGGCGCTACGGCCTACTCTTATATCGAATTCCAACTGCCACGGGATCTTTTACGTGCATTCCAATGTATACACGGGACCTCGGTTTTTCGTAACATCCGAACGACTAGACAGCTGTCCTTGTCAGGCCCTCCGTCCTGCATCACTGACAAGGGGAAACCACGCCGGAAAATCTGGATGAACTTTCTCAGCCAATGCAGGGATCGAATACCCGACCTCCAGGCTAGCGAGCCAGCGTCTTACCCACTTAGCCACGTGATCTCCTTATTATAATATAATATACTATTCAAAAAAAGTAGGGGATATTTGATTTTGGGGGCATAATACTAAAATATGCAAATGACTACGAAAAAAGTCACTATAGAACCTAACAGAAGAAACATTTCCAGTTACATGTGACGCCCAAACGCACCAATAGCTACCGCATGGAATGCATGTGATCATCATGGGGGTCCAACCCAAGATTTGCACGACTCTGACTTTGAATGTTACAGTCATTGTGGCATTGAATTCCAGGGTGGAAACATCAGTTTAATTGTTTTAGTGACCAGAAAACAAATTTTGATATGCGTCGGCTTACTCAAAATGAAAGGTTACGTGCCCTTGGCATGCTACAGATCGGCACAACACAGGCGGTTGTGGCGCGGACGATGAATGTTTCTCAGTCTGTCATAAGCAGGCTATGGTCCAGATACCGTGATACACAATCTGTACAGGACAGACCACGCTCAGGTCGACCAAGGGCGACAACTCAAGCCCAGGATCGATTTATCCGTACCTTGGCCTTGAGAAATCGTGTCATCACAGCAAATCAGATCAGCGCTCGTCTTCAAACAGACACTGGTGTGAGAGTGAGTGGCCAGACGATTCGGAATCGACTGCATAGGGGTCACCTTCGCGCCCGACGTCCTCGCGTGATCCCTTGTTTGAGAGATCATCACATTCAGGCAAGACGTCGTTGGTGTAGGGATCGTCAACACTGGGATAATCGACGCTGGAGCAATGTGATGTTTTCAGATGAGTCAAGGTTCACTGTTGATTTTTTGGACAGACGTAGGAGGGTGTGGCGTCGTCGAAACGAGCGCTTCCAAGACGTTAACGTCATCAGACATGATCGATTTGGGGGTGGTTCTGTTATGGTGTGGGGAGGCATCACTGTTGCTGGAAGAACGGCTTTACATGTTGTTGCAGGGCGTGTTACAGGCCAGTACTACCGGGACAACATCTTGGCAGTCCATGTTGTGCCGTTCGCACGACGTCATGGCCGCCGTTTCATCTTCCAGGAATGCAACGCAAGATGTCACAGGGCCAGGATCGTTACAGGTTACCTCCAACAACAGAACATCACCTTGGCCAGCACTGAGTCCCGACCTCTCCCCCATCGAGCATGTCTGGGACATGCTTGGACAGAGGTTACGTCAACGTCAACAACGTCCTGCCAATGTCCAAGAACTTGCTGCTGCGTTGCAACAGGAATGGGACAATCTGGACCAAAATGACCTTAGACGTCTCATTAGGAGTATGCCACGTCGGATCAATGCTTGTTTGGCAAACAGAGGAGGATTTACCCGTTACTGACTTGGTTGTGATGCTGTTTGACCCCGGGTATCATTTACCCTTATAATGGTCAGTCTGTGCCTTACTTAGTCTAACGATCATTTGGAATAAATCGATGAATGTGAACTTCATTTCATTTTGTCATTTGTTTCTTCGTCAGTTTCATTAGGTGACTTTAATAATACTTAAAAATCAAATATCCCCTACTTTTTTTGAATAGTATATATATATATTTTTATTATTTATTTGTACTCATTATATATTTATTATATTATATATATACTAATTTTTATATTATTAAAATTCTGGAAATGGTATAATATAAGAATCCATAATTAATATTATATGTATTTTCTTTACATGTAATCTTTTTCACTAATATTATTTAAATTATTTTGTTGAAGTGTCACAAACTTGTTACAGACTATACTTTAAATCCCCTTTGTTGATTAATTAGTCTTGGCCTGATGGACCCAGACCCTAAACTCTTCTTTATTCATTCATTCATAATCAAAATACATGCGGTGGCCATTCGTTCTTGCCAGTGTGACGGAAGTAAACAAAACATAGACAAGATTAATAAGACACTCTGAGTATAATAACGATATGAGTAGAAGTTGAGGGTCTATGAATATAGTAGAATATAATATCCAGTGTGCAGCAGTATTTCAATCTGCGTTGAATAGAATGTCATTTGGAAGCTTGATATACGCAATACCCAATTTGTCTCGGTCGCCAAGACAACAGTTTTGAATACACCATTGCACATACTGCGTGAACCGATCGGCATTTTGTAATTTTAATAGCGCGTGGCCTATTTTTGAATGGGTATTGTGAATGAAATTCAATATAGTAACTAAGCAATTCAACACTCAACAAACAAGGCAAATCAATTCATGAAATGTCGCGCTTCGTAATCCATCATCGCAACACAGAAAATGGGACACGACAAAAGAACTAACAATTCAAAGACATTGGGTTCCGAGATCTGGAGTCAGAAGACTTTGAGTTGTTATGCCAACTAAATAAAAAATGATATAGGTAAGTTGGGGCGTTTTTAATTAAAATAAAGATGATATTTTACCTACAGCTGTCGATTATTATAGGCGTTGATATATACCTTAAGTGTGTGAGTGACTCGTACAATAATAACGATCAATGCACATTACTTATTGCATATATGCATAATGTAATAATGTTAAGTTTGTTTGGTTCCACATCATGAATCTAGAGTGCTAATGGTTGCTTGTTCCCCGGTTTTATTTAATATTGCTCAACAATATTGTTATCTATTAGGCTATTGCTTAACGATATTCCGGTTTATATTTGCTGTTCATTCTGAATATTTATATGTACATATGTTACAGCTGTTTCGAAGTCCAATCCCGTTCAGATAGCCTGGATAAATTGTTAACTTTTACGATAATTGCATTGTAAGTTCTTTTTATATATAATATGCTTGTGGTAACATATGTAGACAATTATTTATGTGCACGGTATGAATTTAAATCCGTGTTTCAAATATAGTAATTAATCCATTCAAACTGGGCAGGGTGTAAGGTTATACGTTGAAAATTGTACATGTTGTTGTTGTTCTTGGTGTTTAACGTCTGCTTCCACATAAGTGATATCGCAGACAATTATCAATTATCAGCCTCCTATACACTCGTGGATATTAATACCCTTGATTATGTAATACTACAAGGTTTATTTTAGCTCTAAGAAAGGTGTCCTCTTTAATATAGAAATTCGTTACCTACATGATGTGTGACGAAAACTAGGGTAATGAAGTAGCTTGCATTATTCTACTTCTATCTTAGACTAACTCACCGACAGTTATGTCAGTATCCATTGCTGGAAGTAGGGGACTATAGTCCAGTTATCTCGTGCACAGATTAGTACAATTTGTGCCTATACGAAGCACTTACCCAAAATGGTAATTGTCCCGCCCTAATAGATGTTGCATTATACTATCTATATAGGAGAGATATGGTTTGATTTACCTTCAGATATCATAGAGCGGCCCGAGAAGGGAACATCGTAGCCTCCCCGGCTTAGAGGCTAGGGTGAACACATGTTATGTAGAACTATCAAGAAGTATGTGGCTCTTGTCACGTTTAAGCTGTTCTGGTCTGAGTTAGAAAGGATATTAAACTCAGACCGTGGATATTTTAATAACTCGAAAAGTACTATCATGACTTTGTAGTTTGCTGTATGTATTTAATTATATAAACTTAGTAACAACATAAACGGTGTTCCAGAGTTAGTTAATTGATGATTGAAATAATTGATCCCACAACGTTAAGTCGAAGAAACGCCTAGAAGAAAGAGTCACATCTGTCCCCATAGTGTCACAATTAGCTGATACACCTATTGGGTTTTAACAAAATATGATCAAGGTATGTTCAATATCAAAGACTAGTATATCTGCTTCTCAAATAAAAAAAAATAGAATTAAAACATAAATACTGTTATACACTAAAGCTAACCGGAAATGCCAAAATAACACAGAGAATAATGTGCCTAACGACAATAATATTTTAAACTCAAAGCACTCGGGAAATACGGAAATAACAGCGTAGACTTCTATAAAGGTGGAGCAGAGGGGACTTCGGAAGTTTCTGGTTCTTGGTCCTTTTCGCACGTGGAAAATAATAACTCAATTTAAGACTAGGCGTACTCAAATAAATATAATATTGAAATCTCAAGCTGCCGTATATTAAAATATAGCACTTCCCATGTTTTCTGATCTGTGATTCTATTCTCCCCGAGAAGTATCTGGGTCCTTTACATCGGGGTTTATTAGATGATTATTGAAATAGGCTTGGTTAAATAATGTTCAAAATTCAAAATATCGTTTCTATATGTTTCCATAACTTTATTAGTTATGTTTCATATTTAAATTTTTGTTATGACCCAGTAAACATGTTATTATCATACACGTATCTATATAGCGCTGCTTTCACTAGAAGTTTTCAGTAGCGCTTTACAATAATTGTTACAAAGTCAAATAAAATATAAAATGACAAACACATCAAGTATAAAGTGACAAGTAAAATACTAAAATGTAAATATATATATATATATATATATATATATATATATATCATTTCACAAGTACATATTTACAATCTGATGACAGACAACATACGAAAAGGTGTTGCATGGCTTTTAAATAAGCTTCCATGTTGTATATTCTTTCCAAAAGCTGAAAATAATTGCCCAATGTTGCATTATATACATAAATACCGTTCCTATATTAATCGCGAGATAAATTATAACGATGATTTTTTCATATATATCCTTTGTTCAGATTTTTGAAAACGTTACATATACAATGATACATTTAACTTTTTTATTTCTATGACAACACGTGTTGCAACATGTGATTAGAAATTCACGAACTAAGTCATCCATAACTTGAAGCCACTCTGTTGTTTACGCAGATTTGATATTTGTTCAGGATAGGGTTGGTAGGGAAAAGACCCCGAGCGAATCCACCAACTATAATAGTGTATAAATCAGCATGGCCATTTGGGGTGGCGGTGATACGGTGGCTATGGAGCTTGCTCACTCCCTGACAGATCTAATAATTGACCCCCACCCCCATTGATAGTGCAGGGCATTTAGTCGTTTAAAGGGGGTGGAAAGGCAAGGCCCCATATGTAACATTACCAGCACGTTAAAGATCGCCGACATTATCTATATCATTAAACAATCCATTTTGTTTTTCAAGCTTGAATAATGATACAGAATGTGTTTTGTTTTTCGGGATTCAAATTTTGAAAAACGTGTTTCGTTATTCGTGATTGAAATACAATTACTATTTTTTTCTTAGAAATTTCTTTCTTTTTTTCTTTTTTTGGCTATTAAAATGGGTTCGTCCGTGTGTCTGTCTGTCCTTTCGTCTATCTGTCCGTCACACTTTTTGGGATACAATAACTCTCTTTGAAATTGAGCTAGAATGTTCAAACTTGGTGTAGGTGTTTATTAGGCCAATACCTTGACGAAGTTCGAAGATGAGCATTTTCTGCTTAGGGTAAGCAGAGATAAGCAATTTGATTGGTTGATGCTTTGGGACACGATAACTTTAGTTCTAATTAAGTGAGAGTGATGAAACTCCGTGTACAGTTTCATTACATCACTACCTTGACTAAGTTCGGTAATGAACATGTTCTGCCCAGGGTAAGCAGAGCGAGAAGCAATTTGATTGGCCGAGACTTTGGAACACAATAACTCTCCTTCTAATTGAACTAGAATGTGATGAAACTTAGTGTAGTTTCATTACATCAATACCTTGACTAAGTTCGATAATGAGCATGTTCTGCTCAGGGTAAGCAATTTGATTGGTCGAGACTTTGAAACACAATAACTCTCATTCTAATTGAGTTAGAATGTTCACATTTGGCGTAGGTGTCTATTAGGTGAATGCCTTGACGGAGTTAGAAGATGAGAATTTGATTAGTTGATGCTTTGGGACACGATAACTTTAGTTCTAATTAAGTGAGAGTGAGGACACTTGGTGTTTAGCTTTATTACATCAATACCTTTACTAAGTTCGATAATGAACATTTTCTGCTGAGGGTAAGCAGGGCGATAAGCAATTTGATTGGTTGAGACTTTGGAATACGATAACTCTCCTTCTAATTGAGGTAGAATGTTCAAACTTGGTGTAGGCGTTTCATTAGGTGAATGCCTTGATGGTGTTCGGTGATGAACAGAGATAAGCAATCTGATTGGTTGATGCTTTGGATCACGATAACTTTGGTTATAATGAAGTGAGAGCGATGAAACTCCAAATATAGATTCATTATATCATTACCTTGATTAAGTTCGATGGTGCGAATGTTCTGCTTAGGCTAGGTGAATGTCTTGACTGAGTTCAATGATTAACATTAAGAGTTAAAGCTAAGCAGAGCTAATCAATGTCATTTGTCGATGCTTTGGGACAAGATAATCTTGATTCTATCTGATAGAGAGTGATGAAACTTAGTGTATAGTTTGATTGCTCGATACTTTTGAAAAAAAAAAAAATGTGCGATTAATTAATATGTGTCATCTATTTATTTTGGGATTTCGGCGGGGGACATCAGCCTCACTGTTGACTTGTTTTATTACTTAATTGTCTTATAAGAAGGATGCCACAGCAGTAAATAAAAACTCTTTCATTTTTATGTCATAAAACAATCCATTCCATTTTTTCAAGCTTGAGTAACGAATAACATTATTAACGAATCTTTTTGACATGAGAATGTTGGAACTATAAGATGTTAGAAAATAACATTCTACCATCATCATCACTGGAGATATCCAGACTTTTAAAACTTTAAATGACATGCTGTTTAACTGTCGGGTTGTCTAATACTTGGTATTGCTTTAGGCATATCAACGCCGGGTTTTATTATTTTGATAACGATACGTAAAATTTTAACTATTTCGTGACAGACCTGTCAGTGATAAAAATGATTGCGCGCCAGAAGCATATAGACATGTAAATATAGGTATGTAATATATCTTTCTGCACATTTTACTTTTTGCCGCGAATATAAATCAGTAAAATTATATATGGAGCTTTATTAATTCTTGTTTATTTTATAAACTGAATTTTCAGTTCAATTTAGAATAGAAATTAGAATGAATGCAAACAGAACGAGACGGTAGGCAAAATACACAGTTGCAGTATTTATAAAATCTGTGTTACTATTTCATCCCTGAATCAAGATATTCGTCATAGAACCAATCGACACATAAAAGAAATAAATGATAGGTAAGCTGATGTGACAACGACAACGACGGCGGCGATATTAAACGTATTAGATGGATTCACCTGGTAGTTAGTTATATGTGAATCAAATTTTAGGCCGCTATTTGATTTAATGTAAATCAATCTAAAGAATGTTCTCCGTTTGACTAATTGGATAATTGTGATCCGTTATTACCGGTTGATAATATACGGTGGGACGCAATGTTTGGAGAAAACTAGTCATAGTGGTATAGGGAAAAAAATCCATATAGCTTATTATGACGTATTTTTCTGATTTCAAAAGATAACAAGTCAACCATATCATGTCCTACACACTAAAAAGTAATGTACCATGTCGTTCGGGTGATACTGTAAACCGAGATCCATTTGTGTACGCATTGACGTACACATGAAAAGAATCCATTTAATTTAAAGAGAGAGAGGGGGGGGGGGGTAACGTCCATTCGACACAGACTAGGTCATTTCGAGACTAACATGATTTAATTATATTTATGCATATAAATATTTTGTGTTTGTCATATAATTTACCCTGTCTAATATTTCACCATATGTTTAGCGCAATGCTGCCCGGTTGTGGAGCTGACGTACAATTTCTTTCTTTCTTTCCAATTATTCATTCACTGATTTAAGACCTATTTTTTTTTAAAAAAATATAAAATTTTTTGATTTACAGGATCCACACAACGTTAATTACAGGAATTTGTCGAATATTGCCGACTACAGGATCCACACAACGTTAATTACAGGAATTTGTCGAATATTGCCGACTACAGGATCCACACAACGTTAATTACAGGAAGTTGTCGAATATTGCCGACTGATTTCCCTCTACAACACAGCGAATATTAGCTACAGTGACACGCTTGACTGATGCCTATAAATACAGTAAAATGATCAACTCGTTTTATAGTGTGCAGTTATTGTGAAATACATTGTCAATAGTTACACGCTTTACGCTCGTATCTGTTTACCTGTAGCAACAAACGTAATGTTTAAATAATAAAATATATAAATCATTCATTTGGATGAGATCAATGATAGCTTGTATTGGAGACGATAAGACAGGTCATATAAGGAAACTGTCATTATATTTAAACATGCCACTGTATGTGAGTTATAGTCAACGGATAATCTGGATACTAACTAGCTACTGCTCTTTGTTGGGATAAAACCTAGGACGAACAGTGTTCATTGTAATGGTCATAAAATGAAGTCTCTAGTGGTTTTATTAATTTGGATTGGTAAGTGAATATAATGAGTTTAATTCATTCCATAATTTTAAAGGGCCAATCTCGATTATATTTTGGAGAATGAAACTGCTTAAATTTGTGTTAAAAGCCCTTAAAATCCTCTACCTTTGGGCTGAGCAACATGTGATACGTTTTCAACCAACTTAAACCCGTCAGTCTTCATCTGAAAATGGAGACTGGTGTCCCAAGCTGTATTATACGGTGTCTGGATAAAACCAGACTTTTATAATAAAAAAAACGTGTAGGTAAAATTTACCTTTCGTCATCAAGTACAGCACGTGGGTCATGTACTGTATATACCTCTGAAGGAGCGGCTATAGATTATCAGGTCACCCAAACGAAAAAAATACCCGAAATCTGAAATGGGTTATGTGTCCTATAATGTTATTTTATGCTTTATCAACTTTACGTATAATTCTTTCTATAATACCATTTTACGCTTTAAAAACCATATACTTTATAAACTATATACGTGTGCTTTATTTTATAATACAGGGTACTTTTTATAAACTATACGTATAATTTATTCCATAACACTATTTTACACTTTAAAAACTATACGTATAGTTCATTATATACTCTTCAAAAAAAGTAGGGGATATTCAGAAACAATATAAAACTGCGGAAATGCACTGCTGTTTTTATTAGAGGTAACCAGTGTATGTTAATAACAGGCCAATTGGCTACACATGAACATAAACAGTTCATACGGGCGGCTTATCTGTCAGCTCTATTTCACTCGCAATGAGATACACTGTCAAAAGTGAAAATGGACGTTTTTGATTTTTATCTTAATAATGAGTAATTGCTTCACCAATCCTCAGACATTCAGCAATTCGTTGTTGCATGCTCCTAATAAACCGTCCAATCACGATTTGGGGCAATCTGACCCACTCCTCTTGCAGTGCCACGGCCAATTCTTGTAGTGTTGTCCGTTGACGTTGACGTCGACGTCGACGAACACGTCTCCCGATCAAATTAAACGTAACACACAAAAGCAAAGATACGCTAAACAGTAAATCTTATGCAAGAACCGATAGGAAAGCAAACATGGATAGATAAACCAGCACGCGGCAATTTTCATCAACCTTTCCTTGAAGTGTCAAATTTGACAATGAACCCCCCAAGCGTGCATGGCGCTATTGCGTGTCGCATGTGCAGCTCAGTGGTTCTGTTGGGGCGATAAGTTCTTCATCTGTGAACATACTCTCAAAGCATGTCAAGTGTCCATGACTATTTATATCACAACCTGCATAGGTGTTTGCATCTCAATATCCTCTACTTTTTTTGAAGAGTATATAACACTATTCTACACTTTATCCGCAGTTATTCGCCTTGCTAAAACAGAGGGCTGTTATTGTCCAATCGACAGTGTCTAATTGACCAATCAAAACGCAAGATTCACGCATGTTACAATATTCTATACTTACAATTTATTCTATAATACTTATGATTTATTCTATGATACTATTTTATACTTTATAAACTGTATACTTATAATCTGGGGTCTATAATACTGTTTTAAATTTTTTAAAAAAATATACATATAATTTATTCTATATTACTATTTACACTACTATATAAATTTTACGTATAGTTTGTTCAATAATCATATTTTACAATATTTATGTTATAAAACTATTTTACGCTTTATTAACAATACTAATAATATATTCTATAATACTATTTACACCTACACTTTATAATCTATATTCTTTCTATAATATTATGTTACACTTTATAGTCACACTTTATAAACTATAATTTAATCAATACCATTTTATACTTTTTAAAACTATATGTATAATGTATTCTATAATAATATATTACACATTAACACTATACTAATAGTTATTTGATAATACTATTTAACTTCATAAACTATACGTATAATTGATTCTGTAATACTATTTTACGACACTTTATAAACTATACGTATAATATATTCTATAATACTCATAATTAATTTAATAATACTTATAATTAATTTAATAATACTCATAATTAATTTAATAATACTAGTTTACACTTTAAAAAATATAATTAGAGGATAAGTGCCTGTTGATAAATGTCACTTTATATTTCCTATATAAAGTCGAAAAAGCATTAAGTTAATATCGATTAATCAAATGAAATACCACAATGTAATAACAACTCTCCAACGACATGTCGAAAAGTTTCAGCTTAAAATATTGAGCCGTTTAGGAATCCTCGCTAGATTTCCTCGTCTGGTTTTTGGTTATTCCATTGTTTAATTGTATTAGTACACACTGCTATACTTCTGACAACGGTTTCTTGGTGAACGCCAAGAAATAGGAATAATGCGATTTGACGTAAAAAAAAAAATATAACTACCGGATAATACTAGAAGGCATTAATTTTTAAGTCATTCATTAAATATTCGCTTATCCGTGTTTCTTTTCTGTATGAAAATAATAGCAACCATATTCGTCATTGATTATTTTATCTCTACAATACATATTGATCATACAAATATATTAGAATATCAATCAGCATTATGAGAAGTAATATACAAAAAATTTGCTTATTTAATAAATTCATGCAATCTGTATTGTATTGTTTTATTGTCTTTACCATAAAGTTCAAGAGTATTCACAATATACATCAAACGACAACCTCAGAGCGAAATTTGATAATGTTGAATTCATTAAATCAGAGATAGCCACCTAATCGGAAACGCCTCCTAACCAAAGCTATATTCAATTCATCTATCACAAAGGCTGGTTATTATGTATCTAAATGCCCGGATATTCGATGTAAATGTTAAGACCATATTATGCCAAATAATAAATATAATTTTCATAACTTTACTTCTAGTGTCAACGACAATAAGAATTGTGACGCAATAAATCTCATATATGTCTTGACTAGCAATGACATTATTTATGAATAGTCCGCAGACGGACGAAAAGTACTTTAAATGTTAAAATGTTATTTAACCAATGTTGAGCTCAGTTTGTGTCGGTATACCCTTTTTATCACCCAATAACACCTTCTACAATAGATATCCTTGTGTGATAAATTTCATAATCTACTGGAGATATCGCTTTACATGAATTTGATAAGTCAATTAAAATGGAACTACTTTACTTATTTTCAAAGAACAACTGATTTTTTTTTTTTTTTTATTAAAAGTAACTTCTTTTTTTTTATTAAAAAGGAACTATTTTTATTTAATTGACTTGGATGGAAACACTGTGTCAAGATAAAGGACTTTGCAATGGTTGAATTGCTGACAAAAACTAATGTATCACTACTACGCCGTAATCAGGTTCAGTAAAAGTGAACTCTATAACAAAGAATTATATTTATTTGTTTGTGTATGTAAGAAAAGGTATGAACACAAGTCGATAAAGTAAAAAAAAAAACGAGGAGATTCTCTACATCTCTATGTTACTCTGGTAACTCCAATGGTAAATACTATCTACTTATGCTAGCGTACAGTCTCTATTGCTAGCAATACATAGAGTAAACAATTTACATGTCATTAAATTCATTAAGTGCACAGTAAAATGGATTTTTCTCAATTACTCCAATTTCTATGGCAAATATAGCCTTTATAAACTTCCTTTAACCACATTTTTCCCCTTTAATATATAGAGGTTTTGTAAGGATTTCACTCATATTAATTTAATACCAAGTTTACAAAGACCTGTCATTTTACGTTTTTCTGAAATATTTTTTCTTTTTCAAAGTTAACATTTTATAAACTTGTCCAAAAATACCATTTATGTCATGCTAAATTTACTTGTCGTTTTATGATTATCAGAAAAAAATTTGTTGTTTTTCAAAGTTACCATTTTATAAACTGTGAAAAAAATTGTTCATATTTAAGATGTTTGTCCATTGTTACCTCTAGAGTTTCCACAAGCTAAAAACATGATTTTTCGTACAATTAGAGGTAATATAATAATCTATGAATTTACGGTCCGATACATGCCAATATCGAAAAAGATCTTTGGAATATAAACCTTTATCACCCAATAACACACTGTAGATATCGCTTGTGTGATAAATTTCATAGGAGATATCGCTTTACATGAATTTGATTGGTCAGTTGAAAGGGACTACTTCTTTTTATTTTCAAAGAACATTTATTTTTTATTAAGAGTAACTTCTTTTTTTAATTAAAAATGAACTATTTTTATTTAATTGACTTTGATGGAAACACTGGGTCAATATAAAGGACTTTGCAATGGTTGCATTGCTGTCACTACGCCGTAATCAGGTTCAGTAAAAGTGAAATCTATAGCAAAGAATTATATTTATTTATTTGTGAATGTAAGAAAGGATTGGGTGATAAATAAAATCTCCTACTCGTCTTTTTTGATATATAAAAAAAAATCGGCAGAGTCTCGCTTTTCTTACTTTATCGACTTGTGTTGATATTTTTTGATATAAAAAAGACGAGTAGGAGACTCTCTATATATACCAAGTTTAGTCAAAATCGGATAAAAATTTGACTGCTAGAGTGTCCACAAACTACTGTGGACGGGTGTCTGAGCGGACAGGGACGACGACAATATACGTCCACGTGAAAATGTGGGCGTTTAATAAATAGTTGAATAGAAACACAAAAGTCATTTTTTATGTATGACATAGGCCATTATTATTTCCAGTGTTTCTTATTTCCAATGTTTCATGAATATTACTAAATTGAAAAGCACAATAATTTGATATAGGTATATACATTTTCCCAGCCCCCCCCCCCCCCAATGCTAAAGACCCCTGCACGCAAGTGACATATTGAAATTAAATATACCAGTAGCACATAAAGAACCTTTTTATATATATATATATATATATATATAATGGGGCCCGGTACATTAGATCACATGGTCTGTCATTGAGTCAAGGCGATTTCCCGCATGTATGTGACAAGGAATAGGGTCACCTGTCCAATCTCGTTGGTTTTCTCCGGTTTCCTCTGTTAAAGACCTCTACGCGCAAGCAGATTATTTTTAAAAAAAATTGAGCCATGTTACGCCCGAAATAACTTAGTTCATTCATCTCTCTGTCCCTTAGGTCGATTTAACTATCTAATCAAATGTAATGTCGCAGTAACTATTTTTATTAAACAGGACCTGTTAGCGTGCATACGGTTATTTTAAATATTTGCCCAATAGTAAAGATGCATATATACCCGAGAGTGCAAAACGAAACCGCCAAAGGGAGATAAGATTAAATCATAGTTTAAGTAGTAGATTAGTAATCTGACACCAAACATATGCTTTGATTCGACTTTAGATAAGATCGAACTATATCCATTGGCGAGTGGTACACCTACATATCTATTTCATAATCTTGTTTCCAAAGAGTTCAACAAAAGCCCCATACGAAACTTACAATTAGCTGCTCTTCAAAACGGACACGAAGCTAGTTCATCAACATTTTTTAATTCCTACATCGACGATTTTAGTCGAAAGCACTGCAGCAAAATTCGAGAATTTTGAGAAATATTTATTCTGCTTTCATTTCATGAAATTGAACATGTTTAATAAGTTTTTGTGTGTATAAGAAAGAAAATGTTGTTCAATCCAATTCAATTTATTGAATAAAATATTGTTTAAACTAAAGAAAATGGATTAGTATACTATTTTTTTTTAATATTATGGCGACCAGGGTAGAGATCTGTGTGTACAATGCAGACGCCCGCGCCATGCTTCAAATAGCCCAATAGTAGGAGTTTCTATATAAAAACCCTTAATAATGACTGAATGTACTGCTATGTTTATTTGAGCCCGGAAAAGCATTTACAGTCCAAGCGATATACGATTTATATCCCTAATTATTGATAGTCTATTTTGTACTTATTATTAATCTTTTCAGTAATGAATATATCAGCTGTAAGCATGGCAGAATGCGATGATGCGGCCGTATTTAATTGTTTACCAAATCCTGGTATCAGGAGGATAACTAAATCGGAAGCTTGTGGGTAAATATAATTAGTGATATCCTATTGATAGAAATGAAATGAACAGCAAAACTATTTTTTTAACAATAAACTCAGCGTCTGGAATAGATTGACAACACATTGTTACAAAACCTATCCGTAAACTGTGCACATATCAAACCTACGTTACGAAGTCTAAAGGTTGTGTATTAAAGAATTACCCAACACCCTAAAAAAAGAGTCTTCATTGGGCGGTTTTATAACGACATGTAGTGTTAGCGCTGGTAAGTTCGTAGCTGGTGGACAGATAAATAGGTCCGACCAGATCTTTCCTGTGTTTTAAACAAATCATAAATTCACAAGATGTTCTTAATCATGTGCAAATAATTTGTACATTGCAAGCATTAATTTATGACCTGGGTAATTTTAAACAATGGAGATCGGATAATGTTTGATTTATATTGCAGAAAAGTATGGCGTTAAACTTCATTTCTTGCCATTTGATTAATAGTTGATATAAAATAAACCAACATAAAAAGATATCCCCAAGCAACAAGAATAGACCATAGTTTTTGTCAAGACTAACGAAAAGATACAATATAAAGACATGGGTTTTATGTACACCAACAAACAAATTTGTACTGTAATTTGTTACGGGTGAAACTTTTCCATTTACTACGAGCTAAAATCCCCACAAATATGTTTCAAAGGAGCCAAGTCTTTAACTCGATATCATCCACAGTCTTTGCAAACACGACTTATTGGTCAATTTAAATCAACATTGATGTTGTTATCTTATGTTGGACCTATGGACTAGGGTCTAGGTATCACAGCCATCAAAAATCGAAGTCCGTGCCGATCATTGATGACCGTAGTAAACTCTGTAAAATAACAGTTGGTTTTTCATTGTTTCAAACATTATTCCATTCTTAAACCCTATCACATTACTCATTCTAATTTAATTAATTTATATTGCAGGTTGATGGGTGAAATTAAATCTTGTTTACAACAAATCCGTTGCCCTCCATCAACTTTCCAGATAGTAAATGACGCATTTGTCCACAAGTGGTCCATACAATGTGGTTTGTGGACTTTTTTTCTCAAAACTTTGAAATGGCTTACATAGTCACATATATAAGTATAAAGCTGTGCGTTAAAAATTATAATTTCCGTATCGCATCTAAGTATTTGATAAATACAGTCCGTAAAAACGTACATGTAATTTCAGATATTTTAAAGGACAATGGTAGTGTCCAAAAATATTACATATGTTGTAGTAATTTGTAAACACATTTTAAATATACTTCTAACAGAGCGATGAACCTAGCTGCGGTTGATTCGTAACAATGATTTGAAGAAACGGGAAGTGAGTAAAACTAGAGTTACCCTTTAAGCTGAGTAAAAAGCGATGACAGATACACAATAACTAGTATCAGATTGTGAGAGGATTCGAAACGTACTGCTCAAAAAAAGAATTGACTGTTACAAGAAAAGATAAAGAGAGAAAAATAGAAACATGTCCCTGTATTCCCCTGTTTTTTTTTAATTAATTCTCTACTTACAGATTTTAATCGATAATTATAGTTTATTCTGGTAGACATATTATTATTATTTTGTTCTTAAAACTTACGACTGTTTCCGCCACATGGATTACAAATCTTAATGCGGCGAACGAGACAAAAGAGAAAACATTTTAGGCCTACTTATACGTATGAATTTTGTGCTACCATCGAACCATAATTTATTCGTTTTTAAAACCCGAGACAGGTATATTCCAGGGCCCGTGAGAGGGGGGGGGGCAGCTGGAACCCGGAGGTATGCCGAATAATGTTTTTTAAAAACTATTGTTGGTATAAATTAATATAAAAAATGCACTGTTACTTGATCGTAAAGTAGAAGAAAACCGGTGAGTCTTCTAAATGTGTATACATAGTGGCGTGGGTATTATTAGAATCGGATTCTGCCAGTGCTCTCTTTTTTTGGAAAAATTGGTGAATTAAAATCTATGAATCACCTGCCTAGGACTTCGCATCGTGGAGCCACGGCCCGTCCTCGTTCCTTTTGAGGTTCTTGTCACCGTCAGGGTATCCGGACCCCAGCAAGTAATCGGGGCCTAGTCCGAGCCAGGAGAACGCTACAGTGATCTTGCATCCGGTTATAGATCGCTCTATCCGATCTGTGTCTTATCAAAGTTATCTCCATTTACGCTAGAGACCATGCATCTATCAACAATTTTCGAGTCGGGGGGGGGGGGGGGTGTGTGAGAAAAACCAGCCCCTTCCCCTCACTGAGTTGCTTGTTCCAGGACCCGGCCCTGTTCATAACTATATATTATAACAAAGCATGTGAATTCTAATTCTACAGGCACCATCATGTAGATTACAAATAGCAATTATTCCTTTGTCATCTACAAAAACAATTGCAGACTTGTAGCCTATCCAGAATGTATTTTTGGATTTATTTGCACAATTTAAGGTCCTTTGCAATTTCGTTTTCTTGAGTGTGGCATTCCAGAGAAATTTTAGTATGCCGGATAAGTAGTAGCTCCGGCTTCTGAAATCAACGTCTGATTCTAAGAAATGAAAGGTGTTGTGTACGAGGTATGATACTCTAACTTTTTCCAAAACACCTAATACTACTTCCCATACCTAACGAGGTTTTGTTTTACTTATGTATATATATATACAATTGTTGATAAATACAGATTGTCCAGTTTGCAGGAAATTTCAGTAGGTCGGATGACAAATGGATCTGAATGCAGTATTTGTTAAATAAAGATCGTCTAAAGCACAACCCAATTGTGTAGTCGACGTGGCTGAAAGGGAAGTAATTGACAAAAACAGAAATAATAATATGGCATTAGTTTATTTATCGGGCTAAGTATCACTATATTTATCGTTTAAAATGTGTAAATCGAGAATTAATAAAAACAAGGTAATGCATGGATCTTTTCTATTTTGTAAAAAGGTAGTGAGCTGACAATCGACTGTGTATTTATTATCGCTTTAGAGATAACTCATGTTTTCCTTGTTTGCGTCACCTCCTAATTCTTCAAACGTTTGTTACGGAACAACCATATAAAGATCTGTGTAAATATTATAATTATGTTTAACCAGTTCTGTCACATATGTAATAATTTTTGGTGGACACCAACATTTTTCTTTAAAGAAGACAAGCGGATATGATCTGGCGATTTCTTGAAGAAATATTTCAGTTGGCAGACAAATATATGAACATTTATTTAAATAAAATGTGAAAGCCAGTGTCAGCCGTGATTTCTTCTATTTGGCAAGGGAGACACGATGGTTCGACCTCCGTGTTAGCAGTGAAAGTTCTCTAGGATTTTCCAGGGTGACGCCCCTTTGTTAGTGGTGCAGGGCGGTCTGGCGAGGAAACGCCTGTAGTCGTTCAGATGGGACGAAAATCCGAGGTCCGTGCACGTAAAAGAACCCGTAAAAAAATTCATATATAGCTCACCAATGTTCTGAACAATGTAAATGTTTGTCATTAAAACCTATAGTGGTAAGAAATAATACAGTAGTCAGTAATAAGAGAGAAATGGGGTTTAACGTCCACTCGACACAGACTAGGTCATTTCGGGACTAATATATGGTTTTAATTTTATTTCAATAATTCGCTTGCGCGTAGGGGTCTTTAGCAGTGGGAGGAAACCGGAGGACCCGGAGAAAACCCACGAGGTTGGACAGGCAACCCTACTCCTTGTCACGTACAACCATGGATTCGAAACCACGCCAGTTGACTCAATGACAGGCTTCATGATACAACGCGTGCGTGCTAACCATTCGGCCATCCAACCCCCCAGTCAGTAATAAGAACGCGCCTCTACCGTCGATGTTACATTCTAGTCGAGCGTCCAATGTCACCTACCGGTGACGTGACGTGACTACCGGTCCATCCGGTTTTTGTAACGTTTGCTTAAATATTGTATTATTTTTTTTTTTTTTTTTTTTTGCAGATTACAGATAACCGTCCTTGCTATAAGACATAAGCATTCGTCAACAAGTTAGTTTTTCTGAATGACAGAAGTGTGACTCCTGATTTCTGGCAATCGAATCTAAACGATACCTTTATTTCCTTTCTTTTATGATAATCTAATTATCTACCCTAATACAACCAACAAGATCAGTAGTAAATTTTCGATCAGCCGATAATGTCACTAAAAAATATGAAACAAGAACGCCACGGCTCCACCCGATTTTCGCTGTTTGTTGAAATTCTACGCAAACGAGATCATTGCAACAAGAAGATATGTTGGCCGAACAATGGTTTTGAAATCTTAAACTTGTTTGCGTTGAATTTCAACAAACGGCGAAACATTTTATACGGACATCCAATCAGTATTTCGCTAACGATCACGTGGTACAGAAATAAGATAATGTGGCGCCAGTATAAACTTTGAATTTTTAGTTAGAGGAATGAAATAAGAATACCTTAATGAGGCGTCAATATTAACTTTGTATTTTTAGAAAATTAAATTCTAAAAATTCTACATCGCATTTAGCGTTAATAACGGAGTAAAGAAAATAGTAAAATGAGTTGGTAATACTATGCTCGATGTAAACAAACCATGTATAACAATCAGTTTAGTGGTGTTTAATAGTTTCGATTGCCTTGGCTACTTACCGTTTGTACTGCAATTCGATTGTGGATGATAATGGATTCTTAATATCATCTTCGTTATTCCGGTAGAAGTAGGACATTAAACCCCATTTCATTCCATTCTTAGTATCATGTTTTGCAATGTAATCGATGATTTTCAACATTTGTAACATAAATAATCCGCTTTGTTATTGACGATCCGATGTGGCGTCACTCCCTTAAAGGTCACACCATTTTCTGGCAAGGGACAGTCTCTAGTCGTTTGGGTGGGAAGGAAATCCGAGGTCCCGTTTACACCTGTGTGCACATAAAATAACTCTTAAAGGAGAAATGTAATCCCCCCCCCCCCCTTATAACACACTGTGTGGCTTATGTACATCTTCATTATCCCCGGGGGGGGGGGGGGTGGATGGCTGAATGGTTAGCGTGTGCGCGCTGTATCATAAAGTCTGTCATTGAGTCGACTGGCGTGGTTTCGAATCCCCGGTTGTACGTGGCAAGGAGTAGGGTCGCCTGTCCAACCTCGTGGGTTTTCTCCGGGTCCTCCGGTTTCCTCCCACTCCTAAAGACCCCTACGCGCAAGCAAATTATGTAAATAAAATTAAACCATATGTTAGTCCCGAAATGACCTAGTTTGTGTCGAGTGGACGTTAAACCCCATTTCTCTCTCTCTCTCTCTCTCTCTCTCTCTCTCATTATCCCCGGTAGGTGCAGAAATGTAGGACGTTAACACCCATTTCATTCGTTCACACTATAGGGGTAAAAGAACACTTTCGCGGTGGAGATGGGTGAAACAAAATATAGCCGTTCAAACTAAATGTGTTATGGACTAGATTACAATGGGTGTATATATGAAATGACGTGATCGGACTCGCTGTGTTTTCATCGTCTGTTGAGTGCCAAAAACAATTTCTTGATATGCGAACTTTGAATATAAATTGAGTACAGTTCATTATTTTATTTAGACCTTTATGGCCTACTGTATATTTCATTATTGTATATTGTGTAATGTGTTTTCATCATTTTAAGCTATGCATAATTATAAAGTGGGCCTTAACACCTCTTAGTGAAAGACAGAAAGAGCCATGCAAACGTTTCAAGAACAATAATTATATGGACAAATAATGTGTGTATGTAGTTCCTTCTAGAAACCAAACATTGGATTTAGAGTGTCGTCAACACAATTTTTCTTTCACGTTGAGTTATTATGTCCCTGAAAGAAAGAACAATACCGTTCATTTCATCACTAGAAACCATGCTTATATCCTTCGAAAAGTGTTGAATTTACACTTCTGTTAGCGACGAACATTCAACTATAAACTAAAGAGAGTAGACCTCGAGTGTCGTCAGCACAATAATTCTTCTTTCACAAATTTAAGTGAAAATGCTTTTCATTTAATCACGGGTGCCCTTGGTGATTTCGTTCGACGGGCTTTGAATTTACCTTTTTCTGTGAGCTTTGATCACTATTATATATGATTTTGAGGCTGAAGCGTCGGTGGGGGGTGACCTGTGATACAATAAGGTTCATTTCACCTCGTGTAGTAATCATAGATGTCAATTGGGAACATCCTTCAAGAATGTTTGTTCTTATGGATGTAATGATTTGCGGGGACATGGTGTGAAATTATGAACGAAGTCAGTGGACGCTCCATATAATATGGGGTAACATGTGGAAGCATCATGTATTTGGTTTACCATGGACATCGCGAGACGCACAAACTGAAAAGTAGAATCCTAGTAAACATGTAACTATCCGCTCTACATTCCAACGTAACCAAATATCCGAGCTATTTTGGAGTTACGTCCCTTCGCCTGATATTGGTGCTTGATTTCTGTTGGATAAATATGAACGAGTTTTGTTATATGCAATTGTTCTCAAAAGATCACAGAAATAAAATATTCTTTTAAATTGTAATAATGTGTTTCCGTTTGATTTGAAATTCGCATGCGTGATTTATTCATTAAATAATTCCCCATGTGTTAAGATTTATTTCGATTTGCGGATGTCGGCTTTTAAGAGCCCTTTATATTAAGTGCGGCATCAACGCGAACCCGCGTTTGGATTTGAATGATTATCCACTATTTGAATGAGGTCGTTTATACTGACGAAAACGAAGTTTTGGAGAACATTTGCGCAAAGGGTGTAGATGGTCAACTTGTCCAATCGTTAGTTTCATCTGAATTTCCGGGCGTACGAACGCAGTGGTCAGTCGTCGCAAGTTGTATAAATTCACTCTTTCTTTTATTAGTGTTTAACGTCGGTTTCCACCGTTGGTGATATCGCAGACAAGTTGTCTTATTTTGTTATGCTTAGCGCACGCGCTGGGGTCTTTACTGTGGAAGGAAACCGGTGTACCCGGAGTAAACCCATGAGATTAAGAAGGCACCCCTATCTCCAAGCCACATACGCCCACACCAGGATCAAAACCACGACCGCACGCCAGGGATGGCCGGCCAGGTATATCTCAAAACGCGATACTCTAGAACATCCCAATACACTATAAATGCACCTTCATTGCTGTACTTTATCCTCTGACAGGTTTGTTATCCAGGTCATTTAGATAATCTAATCCCTAGCCCCAGTACCTATAAGTAGAGAACACCGGGGGTACTGGGACCCGGTTACTTAAACATGCGCGGTTGAACTACCCGAAAACTCGAAAGATTGTGGCATATTTTGATGATTGGATGCCGACGCCATGGGTGCAGACCAACCACTAGCGCCGGTTTTGTTGTATTCTGTCCTGAATACCCACATAGTTAACTTTTAATGAGATGTACGGACTAGACGTGTATGCATATATATCAAATTACCAAATACTACATGTAGCAGACTAAAAATGACATACCTTTTGCAATTCTGAATACCACGAAAATTGGGGCGACACGTAAAGTAATTCCTGGACACGGGCCTGGAATATTAACAAAACTATGTTGTTAAATGTACACGTGAATTTGATTGGGACAAAAAAAAAGACACCGCATTTAAATAAGCAGTGCTAGACGGACGAAACACTAGTCACTACGTGCCGCCTTCGCGCGTCTAAACGGAGCAATAATTGCCAATGCAACAACCACCAACAATAACGTATAAGTGGGTTATCGCACGTGCGGCTAATATTTTATGTTCACATCTCAAAACGTAACGTAGTATAAATGAAACAACTTTGATGTTGAAGTGGCGATCACAGTGGCTAAGTGGGTAAGACGCTGGCTCGCTACTCTAAAGATCGGGTGTTCGATCCCTGCATTGGCCGAGAAAGTTCATCCAGATTTTCCGGCGTCGTTCCCCCTTTTCAGTGATGCAGGACGGAGGGCCTGACAAGGACAACTGTCTAGTCGTTCGGATGGTGCAAAAAACCCAGGTCCCGTGTAAGCATTGGCGTGCACGTAAAAGATCCCTTGACAGTTGGAATTCGACGATATAAGAGTAGGCCGTAGTGCCGCTGTCCGGGCAAAATTTCCCTCATAGCTCATTGTATGACGTATGCCCGTTTTCATTAGCCCAGTTCAGAACAAAAAACAGTTGGACGTTAAATTTCATTTCCATGTTGAAGTGATGTGCGTGTTACAAGGGAGACAACTAGGCTAGAGGCTAATTCGGACCCCTCATATCTCGCGATATATTTTGTCCATTAATATATTTCATCATGAATAAAATCAAACTTGTCAGGGTATTTTAGCTCCAGCAGCTATTAAAACGATTTCGAGTTTTTCATTAGGAGTTGCATCTTGCATGCAGCTTGAATCTAAGTATTTACTCGTAATATATTGTCTTCCTCTAACAAATGTCATCTGCCTAACCTCGTGGGTTTTATATCGGTTCTCTGGTAACCCCTCACTTCTAAATTATAATCGATTTATTGAATTACATTTATACCTGTATGTGACACTCGAAATTCTCTGGTTTGTGTAAAATGTACATTAAACCCCATTTATCTCTCACTTTCAAGTTCTGTGATGCATTATTTATCTACCCAAAAACCTTGTATTTATTCGTATTGTAGAACAAACATGTGCTTTCGTCTCTAAGCCTTTTTCGTTCCACTTATATTTGCCATCGAGGGAACATTAGACAACGGATACTTAATAGAGAGGAGGTGGGGGCTTATTCACTGAACCACCGTGGCTCCTTGTGAAATTCATAAAGGAGCGCACCACGCCCACTTTCTCAGAAATATAACCAAATTATGATATCGTCTAGAATTAAATGTTGGGCAAAATTTCAAAGGAAAGCTTGAAACTAGCTAATAATGGACGAAAATGGTTCGAAAAGTAAATAATAGTGTAATATGAATATACATCTGCATCTACATTAACTGTCGTTTGGGCGTGGTTAGCCCAGTTTACAAAGGAAGTATGGTTTGGCATTTCACTTGAGACCAAGCAAAAAAAAAAACCAACCGATGTCGCTCACTATCGTTTACTTTGTCTTAAATTATATTGGATATTAGGAGCCCATATTTTCACGGCAATATAACAACTATACTGATTGATATGGGCCAATTATTCAACAAGCTAACAGTGGGGCTGATGTCACAAGCAAAATCACCAAAAAAAAAATTATCTTTTTCAAAAGAATCAAGCAATCAAACTGATTATCTATACTTAGTCTAAGCATAAAATGTTCACACGATCAAACTCAGTCGAGGTTTTGAAGTACGCTCCATCAGTTAGAATCAAAGTTATCGTGTCCAAGTGCATCGACAAATGAAATCACTTAGCTCTGCTTAGATATTGTGGGAAATGTTAATCACTGAACCCAATCAAGACATTCACCTAATGAACATTCTACCTCAAATAAAAGCAGCGATGTTATGTTCCAGTCTTCAACAATCAAATTGCTTATCGTTACTTAGCCTAAGCAGAAAATTCACATCTTCGAACTTAGCCATGGTGTAGCTATACCAAATCTATACTTGGAGGTTCATGACTCCCACCTAATTAGTGCCAAAGTTATTGTGTTCCAAAGTATCAACCAATTAAATTGCTTATCACTGCTTAGCATTAGTGGAAAATGCGCACGATCGAACTCTGTCAGGGCATGTACCCAATAAACACCTATGCATTTGAACATTTTAATCTCATTTAGAAGGAGAGTTACTGTGTTCCAAAGTCTTGACCAATCAGATTGATAAGCAGATAATCCTAAGCATCGAACTAAGTTGAGGTATTAATGTAATGAAATTATACACGAAATTTCACCACTATCACGCATTTATAATCAATTTCCTTATCGCTATTTTTACCCTGAGCTGCAACTGCTCATTATAAAAGTGAGACCCATTTTAAAGGAGGCTAGTCTCTTACTCAATATCATCCATAGTCTTCGACATTGCAAACACGACTTATTGAACAAATTAAATCAACATTGGTGTTGTTATCTTACCGTTAAAAGATGGTCTTAATATCCAATATTTAAGACAAAATACAAATTTTAAAATTGACACATGAATAGCGTATCGGAGTACTTTTGAGCGCTATTTATACTGAAGCAACTTCGTGAACGAGGCTTAACACATCCCACAGGAGAAGACAACCGGTGTAAACTGGAATAACAAGACGCCAAAGACTGTCATTCAATTTGGACTCTTCGCGTATTTCGCCGAACATAACTGATTAGAAATTACAGTAAAAACAAACGATTGAATATAAATCAGTTTATTTATATTCGTGTCCATTTCTATGTGCCAAAGATAAGAGATTTAGCACATTTAATATCCCCCTGCTTTCTTCGAAAGAAGGGGGACAATTATAATTCGTGTTTTAATGTAGAAGATTATGGAACGACAATATTTTACTATTCACCAAAGTATTTCTCACTCCCGGACAAAACACATTCCAGCACGTTAAAGTTTGAAATAGAATGAAAATATTACACCATTCATCGCAAAGCTATTCATTAAATGTAAATTTATTATTAAAAAAAGATTAAAACAAGCCAACAGTGAGGCGGATGTCCCCCCGGCGAAATCCGAAAGTAAATAAATGAGACATATTAATTCATTGTACATTTATCTTTTTCAAAAGTATTGAGCAATCAAACTGATTATCTACATTTAGTCTAAGCATAAAAATAATGTTCACGATCAAAATCAGTCAAGGTTTTTAAGTGCCTGGTAGTGAAACTATACACTGATATTTCATCACTCTCCATCAGTTAGAATCAAAACATCGACCAATGAAATTGCTTAGCTCTGCTTAGCTTTAGTGAAAATATGTTAATCATTGAACTCAGTCAAGACATTCACCTAATAAACATTTACACGAAGTTTAAACATTTTACCTCAATTAAACGCATAATTGTTATGTTCCAAAGTCTTCAACAATCAAATTGCTTATCGGTAATTAGCCTAAGCAGAAAATTCTGATCATCGAACTTAGTCAAGATATTGATCAATCTCTCGAAGTTTCATCGCTCTCACCTAATTAGAACCAAAATTACCATGTTCCACGGTCTCAACCAATCAAATTGCTTATCTCTGTTTAGTGGAAAATGAGCAGGATCAAACCCTGTTAGTAATAGACACCTACACCAAGATTGAACATTCTAACTCCATTAGAAGGCGAGTTTTTGTGTTCCAAAATCTAGACCAATCTCTACTTTCCCGGAGCAGAAAATGCTCAGTATCGATCTTTGTTAAGTATGGTATTGATGTAAAGAAACTATACACTAAGTTTCATCACCATCACTCAAAGTTGTCGTGCTCGAAAGTCTCGACAAATAAAATTGCTTTTCGCTCTGCTTACCTTGATCCGAAAATGCCCATTATCGAACTTGTCAAGGTATTGATGTAACGAAACTATACACCAAGTTTCATCACCCTCATTTAAAGGAGCTTAATCGCTAATATTTGGGGCCCAGTAATTGACACAAATGGGGAGCAACGCATATAATAATATAATATGAATGTATAT